ACGTATATATCTTACGTAGTTTGATGGCAATTGTTGTGGTTCCTGCCTTACCAAATAAGTTAGTAAGCAAGTCGCAGAATTCATTGTTCGAGCAGAGCTGCATCTTTGCAGTTTGCATGGAACTATTCAAGCGAGTTGGCATTATTCATTTGCCGTTTATACTTTAATTTGGTTTTATCATCTGGTTTGTATCTATTTAAAAATGCAACTACTTTTCTAGGTTTCAATCATGGGTAGAGGAAATGAAGAAAAGTTATCCATTAGACGAGATAAAAGCCATGTTCTTTTTGGTGGCACAAAGATATTGCAGCATAAACCAGATAAGGTCATTAGCAAGGTTTTTTTTTTTTTTCCATATCTGTGTTAATGTCATAAATCTTCACTTTATGCTCCCTTTTTCTATTTTCTTCCCGGATTCAGACTTTTCCTATAAAACACCCGACGGTGGCTGCTTGGCTGTTGTTCTACGAACTGGGTTTGAGACAAGCCAAGGAAAATTGATGCGGACAATAATATTTTCTACGGAGAGGGTAAATACCTTTCGGTTATCTGTTGGTGATTTATCGTTTTAACAATGTCATTTTTTCCCTACTTTATTTGTCCTCACTTTTTGTGTAGTTACTCTCAATGTGTTTGGTGTAGGTTACTGCTAACAGCTGGGAAAGTGGGCTCTTTATTTTGTTTTTAGTAATATTTGCAGTAATAGCTGCTGGTTATGTACTTAAAAAGGTGAATAAATACTTCCTGTACATATGATTCAGTATCAATAATTCCTATTTTCATTTCATAGTGCTTGTGGCATATGTTTTTAACTGAACTTCTACATGGTGATGCGACTGGCTTTGGTGCAGGGCTTGAGGACCCAACAAGGAGTAAATACAAGCTTCTCCTGAGTCGTTCATTGATTATTACTTCTGTGATCCCTCCTGAGCTGCCAATGGAGTTATCAATTTCTGTTAATACATCTTTGATTGCACTGGCACAACGCGGGATATTCTGTACAGAACCTTTCCGAATTCCGTTTGCTGGGAAGGTGAGTTATGGAAGTTTCACAGAGGTTCATATTGGGCTTTGGTTGTCATGCTATTGCTACTGTAGCATAATCGTCCAAATATCGTTCATTTTCTGATCTCTCTTGTTGTTGAATGAATCTAACATGGAGGGGTTGGATGGCACCATGATATTGTTGATAGTTGTAGCCTCTAGGTTATTATAAAAATAGGAGATATGAAGCTTTTTATCATCTTCTCTTCAATTTTCGTCATCATATCTACTTTTATAATGTGTATACTTCACCTGTCTTTAGCCTTCCACTCTACACTAGTATTTCTTGATTTGTTTAATAAATCGATAGGCGCAGCAGCTTTCATATATGTACGTACAAAGTGTCTGCTTACTCAAAGGCTAATTTCCTGGCCAAGAGTGCTACGATGACACATAGGTTCAGGGTATTATATTCATCTTCCTTCAGGGTCTATTCTTTTTTGCATCAAATCTTTTTCAGCTTTGTAGACATTAGTGTTTTTGTGGCAATATATTTTACATTCTGTATGACTTCTTGTTTGACTTCTTTTTCTATTTTCTTCTGCAGGTTGATATATGCTGTTTTGACAAAGACGGGGACGTTGACTTCTGATGACATGCTGTGGTGATTGTAAGTATAATATTAGTATTAACTGATTGGTTGAGGTTCTTTTGTTGTAATTTATTTGTGTTTTCAATTTCCAGGAGTTCTCTGGAGTTGGTGGGTTGACGAGTGTAGATTTAGAGACAGATATGACTAAACTGCAGGCCCGTACTGTGGAAATCCTTGCTTCTTGTCATGCCTTGGTTTTTGTGGACAACAAGCTGGTATGAATGCAATTTTTGGAACTGTGAAGAGCCTACCATGTTTGAAACCAATCCGTATTTGGTATATCATGCCATTCTTTTGATGCACAAATTATAAATTCCACCACCCCTGAAAATCACCACAACCCTTCCTCTTGAGACACGTGGTTGCTAGCAGGGTGTGTGCACTCCCTGTGGAATGCTTGGGAAATGTATCTGAGTTGGAGGCTTTGGATGATTTTGGGCAGTTTTTGAATATATACTCATAAATAATGGCAGCATTGTGCATGAGATCCTACCATTTAGGGTTTGGGGAGGGTCAGATGTATGTAGTTTTAGCCCTCCATGCAGTGAGTCAGATTCCGCGCCTCAAAACAATGTCAAGGTCACAATAAAGCAACCTTTATGGGTGCGCCACAACCTGCCCTCAGCCACTCTGCCCCTATGTCCTTCAATTTCTCATTTCATAACAATGCAAATTATCTCATAGGCCCGTGCATCATTAGAGCTAAGTTTTCACTGCATTCACATAGAGGACTTATCCATCTTAGGAGTTGAAATAAACCCCCTCCCTTTTGTACACCAAAGTTCTGTCATCCTGTGGTAAGGCTGCAATAAAAAAAAAGACAACTTGACACAAGACAAGAGGAAGAAGATTGGATAGATTCAAAAGGATAGAAAATTAATGAGTGAGAACTAAAAAAGAGAAGAAAAATAATAAACGACATCAAATTCGTAACAATTCAATATTCAAGTCTGCTCTAGCAAATCCATTAATTATGGATACCCCTAAAATATCTTAATTAATAGTTACCAAAAATAGTCATATAAGTGTAATATTTAAATTGCTAAATTGATAATAAACCCAATTGGTCATGAATTATAGAATAAAACTAGAACAAATTTCTAATCCCTAACCTTCAACCAAGCTTCATCAAATCCTTTTCATATCTCCACCTTTTGAAGAACTAGACTTCTTCAAATAGCATCACATTGGGATGAGGCCATTGGTTCAAATTATCGGCTGAGTCCGATATGACTTGGCCACCACAAATACGAACCGATACCTGGTACAAAAAAAGGCACAAGTCCAACAAGTATTGGTTCTGATTCAGTACAACTCGGCTTCATCTCGTTCAAAAATCAATTGAGAAATAGACCTTCTTTGCCATTACACAAGCGGAACAAATGATAGAAAAAATTTCTAACATAAACCTGTAAATCTAATATCCCCTTCTTCTTTGTAGCGGAGATCTGAACCTTGTTGATCGCAGATCCAAGTATGTAGAAACCCTTGAAGCAGATCAAAGCATCGTCAATCATCTTTGAGATCGTCGTCGACCATCTTTGGAGTTATCGTCGAGCATTCAAGAATCCCTTAACCAAAGTCGAGGAACTATTCATACATTATGGAATAGAAATAAGGAATTTCAATCCTTAATAATTTTGTCATCATCTAGTTGTTTTCAAATGGGCCCATTCAACGATGTAAAAAATATAACAATAGAATAAAAGAATCAATTCAAAAAGATCCGCGAATTCCAATTAGGAATACGTTTGTTCTCACTTGTCTCTCAGATCTCTCTCTCTCTCTTAGTGTTTGGTTCCGTCAACTTTGGCAGATTGGTTCCCCCTCCCTCCCAGCAGACCAAAACCCTAGAACAGTGACTAGCCACCTTTTTATTGCCTTTTTTGTTTGTTTGTTTTGCTTTTGTTCATTATTTACTTTACAATTAAATTCATTAATTATTACCTTTATTAAGTTTTTTTTAATATGGAATTGAAGATATAACAATTACCCATGCATGTTGATATGTAATTGGGTATGCATCAAATGGACAAATTTTTTTTGTATTTTCTCATAAATTTGTAAAATTAAAGATTGAATTGAACTATATTTACGTTCATATAATATTTATATTTGGGATCTAATGTATTTATCAAATTATAATTTATTGATATATCTTTAATTTCTTTTTATTTAAAAATATTTAAAATTAAATACTAGTATGTTCAAAATAGATTTAATAACATTACCAATAGCACCTTCACAATTTATTTTCACCTATGTTTAATGTGTTAAGTAATATAATTTTGGGATATGTTGCATGGATGATAATATTTATATTTTTTAGAATTTTCATGATTTTTTCAAAATTTTTATGTGCTTTCTATCTAGTGTCTTGAGCACATCAGCCGATAATGCGCTACGACGTCGAGATCGATGTGTCTTAGTTCCCTTTGAGTCTATGACCGATACCACGACCTTAAACCATTGATGAGACCTAGATGATGTATGCAAGAAATATATGGATGGATATGCCTTTAAAAAAGTTAGACTTTCAAGAGACATTTCTCGTACATCGAGTGTAGCTTTTGTTGATTTGTTGCTGGGTTTTATATTTTATTTACCTTTCATAAATCATAACCAAATGAGTCTATTCTGTGCGTTTTAGGTATGACATGGCAACCCAATGATGCATTCTAAAGGCCTTTCCATGTGTTTATTAGGGGTGCAACTCGTGCGAGCTAACCAAAACCCAAACCGAAATGTTCAGCACTTGGGCAGGGGTTATCAATTTTTAATACTCAGGTTGGTAGCGTCGTGGTTGGGGTTGGGTTCAACCCTTTTCTATTTTACTTTGTGTAAGAGAGAGGTCAGATTAGGTTATCTCTACTCAATTCTCAAGCAGCCTCCTCTCTCACCCGCCATTAGGGCTTCACATCACAAGCACACTCTCTTTCTCTCATGATGCAGCTCCCTGCCCTTGCAACTCTTGCCTTGGGTGTTCTGTATTGTGCGTACAATTTGGGTTATTTTCAAGAGTTGAATATGGAGACTGATGCTCGATTCTAACGATTATGGCCTTCTCATTGTTTGTTTCCCCAGATTCTGCCAACTCGGTCTTGTGGGATTGCGTGTAATGCTTAGCACTATAGATTTAAATCCTCATAGTAGTAGTTTTGTAATTTTGTTGCTCTTTGTTTTCAATTTCCAAGTAAATGGTATATGTTAGTTTCGATTTTCATAGTGCCTGTGTTTACTGGTCAGTATCAATTGCTACTTGAAGGGATGATAAGTTGAAGGGTTCAGCCCAATTTATGTTGTCCGAATTCTTAGACCTGGGCAATAGTCGCGAGGAGTTCAGGTTGAAGGTCGGTTTTGGTTTAGTCCCGGGTTGAGTGCTTATAATTTGTGTTGAGCTTGGGTTGAGCTATCATCTGCACAACCCGCACCAGTTCCACCCGTAATATTTATTGAACATCTTAGAGCAGAATGATTCAAATCTTGTTGGTCAGGACTTTTTGGTGCTGATCTGCCAGATGCTATACTTAGTATTAATCTCATCAATGCTTGTAGGTTGGTGATCCCCTTGAGAAGGCTGCACTTATGGGAATTGATTGGACCTATAAATCCGATGACAACCCCCCTGCCAAAAAAGTAAGCTGTGGCAGTAGTTGTCATTTTTTATTCTTATGAAAGCATAATTGTTCATAGTTTCTCATTAAAGTGATTCATATATCTGGCAATTCCCTTTATCCGCCATTTTTATCGTGTTAAAATTTAGTTTATATTTGTAATTTATCTTCTTGTTTGTGTTCGGGAGATTTTACTTGTTGTATTTTGTTCTGTAATGTGTTTACAGTTTCGGTGATGCACGTTATCCTCTTAATTACTCGGTGTTATTTGTATCTTTGGTCAGTGTCGTTAGTAATTTGAAATGTTACTGTTTTTGGGATATGAAATGAGAATTTTATTGTGGAAAGAGTGGGAGATATCCAGAGGCAGATGGATTGTTAAAGAGTACCAAAGCATTGGAGAAAATGAAAAAAATAATAGCTAATAGTCAGTTAAGTATGCCCCATTTCTCATAAAAGGATGTCCCAATTCCCAAAAATAGCCCAAAAAGAGGGACTCATACCTCCAATGGTATAGGTAGATCCATATTTTTCCTATTGATATGATTGCAGCCTCCGAGGCTAATTTATCACGATAGTTCCATTCCTATGTTGGGTCGCTTTCTATTGATGTGATTTAATTGCTGCTTGATTTATGTGAGATCAAAGCAGTTGAACCATTTTTCATAAAGTCATAATGGAATGCATTTGCATTCTTTAGTAGGTGAATGCTCGGTGGAAGGTAGCAAGAAAGTTTTATCCACACATGGCACACAGTGTCGGACAGCAAAAGTTTGCTTCTGCCTCTTTTGTATTCTCTCTGTGTCTAAACGGGGTGAGCATTGCATCTATTGATATCACCCCTATGGCTTTTATCAATGTGCTTGTGACTGGAGACACGAATCAAAGTCTACACTTTGGCCATAATTCTTTGTACTCACTTTTACCAAAAACTGGCTGAATTTACCCACCCACCCCAACAAAATAAATAACAGAAAAAATGCTCAAAAACTAAAGAGAACGAATGCAAAGAGTAGCTTTAGAGGAATGCCTCGACTCTTTTTCCCATAACTTGCAGTAGTTGCATTCAGGCAAAATACATTGGAAGGAATGGCTTAGGATTTGCGATAATTTTTGGTTCATATTCATGCACACGGAAGGTTTATGCTCTTTTTGCTATATAATGCAATTCTCCTTTTTCTGGCTTTGGGTCCACAGAAGAGTTTTACATGAAGCATGAAGCAGACATACTTTTCCTACTGTCGTACCTTGACAAAAATCATGATTTTGTTACTGTTAATTGATTATATTAAACTGGGCTCACATTGCTCGCTCCAAGTCTGTCATCTTTCCTAGCATGCTTGATATATATTGGCCCACACAAGAAGTTAAATTTGCTTGTATGGTAAATATGGTGGGAGATATTTTTATTCAACTTTAGCTCCTACTACGGTCCAATTTGTTAATTTTTGTTGTGTTATGTGCTATTTTTAGTTAAATGGTATTTAGTACTTTTTGATTGTGATTATTTATAAACAAGTTGAGTATAGTTGTGGAACCTAACACATTACTTCCCTCCCATATTCTTCTCTTTCTCTCTTCTTCTAGTATACAAAACCCTAACAGCT